AATTTTGGGAAGCATGCTCAAAGTAATAAAAATAATTTGCATATGCAATTTTCATAAAAATCCTTTCTGCTTTTGTCAAAAAAAAAGACTCCAATTTGATAGTTTTAAATCCAACCAACTAAATTTATGAGGACTTTTGCTGGCAGCTTTTGAACTTAATCCATTAAAATTAAAAAGAAAAACTTGTATTCATAAAGATCAATTCTTTGAAGTGTTAGTAGCTTTTTAACCAACTTTACTAAACTTCAAAAAGGTAATCATTTCTTATATTTTCTGAACTTAACCCACTTGAAATTAATGGTAAAGCTTTTTTTTTGATTAGCTGAAAGACCTGAGCTGAAGTTTTCTTAAGTTTTGGCCCAATGTTTTATTAATACACGGTTAAAATAGTTAAAGAAAGTTAAAATAACTTTATTGCTAATAATAAGAATTTAGATGATCTTCATTCCAGAATATTCTATTGAATTCTTGTCGATCTAGAAATCTTGATTTTCTATTTTTAGATTTCTTTGTCTTTCTAGTTTTTTGCACTTTACAGATTTTTTTATTATATAATTTGATCTTGTGATTTATAGTAAATCTTTTTACCAATTATATTTATCGGAAAATCAAAAAAAATAAATTTTTTAAAAAAAGTAAAAATAGGCTGTTTCTATTGAAAACACCCCATATGTTTAATTATCTCTAGCTCTAATATCCAATTAGATATATAGTTAATTGGTTAGTTGAACATGTGGACAACAACTAAGGCTAATTAGCCACTTGTCCAATTAGCTATATATCTAATTGGACATGAGGGCTAAGGCTAATAATTTTTTATTGGACTTAAGGCTAGTAACAATCAGAGGGGCCAAAACAAGTGTCCCCGATTTATTATCCATGTGTCAGATCGACACAGTGCTGCAAATTAACCAATCAAAAACGAAGTTATCCTATAATATCAATATAAACAACATTTTTCGTGTTTTGATCTATAAAAATGAGAACCGCAAATAGAGGAAAAATATCACTTAAAGGCTCTACTAAATTAATAGTAGAATTTTTTGGTAAGCTAATTTATAAGACTATCGTTTGTGTGGTCTAAATTTAACCCGTATCTCTAATTACCATTGAACGAAATAATAGAATTTGCTTTGACCAGGTAAACCATATTAGATTCGATTATATATTCAATTTTTCCCGATAGTGCTAAAGCGGATTATAGTATCTTTTTTCAACGTGGAGTTTATCCCGCTGAAGACTTTAAATGGGTAAAGAAATATGGGCTAAACGTTTTAATGACACTCGATGATAATGTTAAATTGTATTTAAAGAGATTGGCAAGTCAACTAGAAAGTAAGTGATATAATTGACAATTCATTGTTTTTTTAAATATAAATTGTAATTTCTTTTTTATATATATTTATTATCGTAAAATAATTTAGCTTGGTTGATGGCAGGTAAAATAGATAAACTTGTCCTAGCAATCGTCTCATGTGAAACACGCGAGACACTTGAAAGATGGCAGTTTGACATTGAGGTTATCGAAGATAAGGCTCAAGATAGTTCCACGTAAGGTTATTCGCGATCGTGTGACATATTCACATGTTTATATTTTACTTAATTAATATTAATTGTCATAAAGAAAAAAAGACAAATCATATGATGAAATACAAAAAGAAATTCAAGGAATTATTCGTCAAATAACTGCCAGTGTTTCTTTTTTACCAGTTTTGGAAGATAAATGTATGAAGATATGCATAATTTTTATCTTGTATGACAATATAATTTTAACTTGCTTTCTTTATCGAATAGGTACATTTTCTATATTGGCATACACCGATAAAGATGTCGAAGTGCCAGCTGAATGGAGAGATGGTGATCCGCATCTTATACCAAATGCCGAACAGGTTAGACTCCGTTCGTTTTCGACGATGGTACATAGAGTGCATGCACAAGTTGCATATAAGCTTGGTGACGAAGTTTAATTTATCACAATAACAGTGTTGAGTTTTTTTCTTTAATTCAACAATTAATTAACGCATCAATTGGCTACAACATTTTCGTGTTTAATTATTAAAAAAATCTATTTTGAAGTTGCGTGTTCGGCTATATCATAGAATATTTACATAATTTGCGTCAGTAATACATCAGTGTTAGCAATTGGACCAATTGGACATAATAAAATTTTTATTGGACATATGCCTAATTCTAATTAGTCATATATTTAATTCCAATAAAATTGATTTTATTACCCAACACTGAGTAATAATCATATCATTTCTGATTTGGAAAAATTTAGAATCGTTCTTAAAGGATCATATCCTCATGAAAATTGTGCGAAATAAAATTATGGAAGTTATATGAGCGTCGCTAATTTTGCGACACTCATATATCAGGTGTATGTACGTACGTACATCATTAGCTGACTTTTGTGATCAATTAACTATTCTAGAATTTCTAGAAATGTGAAATGCTATTTTTAGATCAAAATTTTTGTTAATCACGTTTTTTTTAAACCTGATTTACTCAAAATTGTTTATATGTAAAAATAGGCTGTTTCTATTGAAATTACCCCATATAAGGGATAGTCAAATTATCAAGAAATTCCTTTCCAAACTTTGTTGATGGAGGGAGTGATGAAACATCCAGGTTTGAATGCTTATTGAAAAATTTTATAAAAGCATTATTAACCAAATTAGACAGTTGATGTTTACTGATAATTTCCATAAATTTATGATATGCATTGTTGGGCCAATTAACTTCATGTGGATGTAGAAGGTATAGGTTGGTTACAACAGTTATGTGCAGGGTAGGGGCGCATGACAGATTTGTAATAATAATTTTTTTTAAGTAGATTTGGTTTAAAACTATCACTAATGAAGTTTTTTTTTTTAATTTTAATGAATTGAGTTCAAAAGTTGCCGGCAAAAGTCCTCATAATTTCTGTTGGTTGGGTTCAAAACTACCAAAA